TTGTTTTCCTGACAATAGTAAGATGTCAATCCTATTAACCTTCATGAATTTTGCTTGAGCATGAAGTGACACATTTCACTGTTTGAGTTTGAAACTATTGTTTTAAAAAACAATAATTATTTAGTAACACTAATATTTCTTGAATAATTAGTTTGACCACAGTTTGACCAGATTTGACCAAAATCCAAAATAACTGAAATAATTATTTAGTAACACTAATATTCTAGAATAATTAGTTTGACCATTGTTTGACGACAGTTTGACCACTGTTTGACCAGATTTGACTAGTAATTTTTTCGATTTTTTCCACTCTAGATCTTAAAAGCCCCGTAACTTTTTTTCTGTTAGGTTTTTGAGGATTTTGAAAATTTTTAATGGGGCCACCCTGTTAAATTCGGATGTAACTTTTCGAGTAGATGATTTTTCATATAATTTTTTTAATCCGAGTTCGTATGCAAAAGTTATGCCAATTTTACAAATTCCAGAGAGATTTTGCAAATAAAGTCAAAATTCATATTTGTAAATTTTTCCAACAAGTAAACCACATATCACATGAGAAACTTATTTTTTTATTTTTTTTGACATTTTCATCATTTTCTTTTGTTTTTTTTTAAATTGAAAAGGCGGTCAGGGGGGAGTTTGAAAATGGAACCTTTAGTACCGGTTCGTGCCATGAACCGGTACTAATGCCTCAAAACCTATTAGTACCGGTTGGTGGCACCAACCAGTACTAAAGGGCCCAGGTGAACCGGGACTAATGCCTTAGCCGCACGAACCGGGATAAATGCTCACGTTAATCCCGGTTCTTGACTAAACCGGGACTAATGTAAAAACTGCCCCGTGACCAAAGCCCTGTTTTCTATTAGTGAATCTAATGTGCGAAGACAAGATGAGTGCGGACATGCCCGCATCAGGAGGCGCCACCTAGTAGCAATCAAAGTGAAGTAGTATTACCACTACCACAAGCCTCACTCCGTAGTAGTACGTGAGCATCTCCAAGTGAGTGTGTGTGAGCGTTGCTTGTGTCGTGCTAGCTTGCACTAGCTGCTACTTAGGCTGTTTTTGCTCTCCTAGCTCAGTGTGCAGCTGTAGATTATTTTGGTAACTCTGTTATTGTACAAGAGAGAGCTAGCCAGTAGTTTTGGGCTAACAATTGGCTTCAGAGCCTCATGTTACAGTAGCCATGGCCGGTGCACAAGGAAAGCAGCAGCGCACCACCTCGGGTGGTTCCAAGTCGCAGCCATCATAGGACGGCTCCCGGTCGCCGCCTCCGGAGGAGCGGCGAGGGCGCATCCGGTCCATGCACGACCATCGCGGTGAGGTTGTGGTTAGGGAGATCGTGCGCGAGACTGCAATCAGCGGTAGCGTGCCCATCACCTTCCCGATGCTCACGCGCTCGAACTACAGCGAGTGGGTGTTGATCATGGAGTGCAACCTCCATGCAGCGAGCCTTTGGGTTCCCATGGAGGATGACCTGGTCGAGAGAAAGGAGGACAGGAAAGCCGTGGCGGCGCTTATGTGCGCCATGCCGCCGGAGATGCATGGCATGCTCGCGGCGAAGGCAAGCGCCAAGGAGGCATGGTAAGCCATCCGTACCTAGCGCCTCGGAGGCAACCGCGTGCGCGAGGCGAACACGCAGAAGCTGCGGGCGGACTTCAAGAACATTGCCTTCAAGGAGGGCGAGCTCGTTGACGACTTCGCCATGCGAATCTCCAGCCTTGCGTCGTAGCTCCGAGTGCTCGACGACACCATGGACGACGCGAGTCGTGCGGAAATTTCTTCGCGTCGTGCCACCTCGCTTCGCTCAGATAGAGGTCTCCATCGAGACCTTGCTTGACCTGATCGAGCTCTCCATCGAGAAGCTCACATGCCGGTTGCGGGTGGTCGAGGACTGCCTTGATGACGGCCGCGAGACCTTCGGCGGCGGACAACTCCTATTCTCGAAGAACTGGGAGGCGAGGAAGCGTCAAGGACGTGGTGGAGGTGCCCCGAGCAACGGAGGCGACACCGGCAGAGGCGGTGGTCGCACCCAGGGCGGAGCCGGACGAGGTGCCGGCAACGACGACCGAGAAAAGTGCCGATATTGCAGCATCAAGGGCCACTGGGCCCGTGAGTGCCGCAAGAGGATGGCTGACGAGGATGTCGCAGCCGCGGCAAATCTCGTGCGGGCTGAAGAGGACGATGGGCCATCAATGATGATGACTTGCGTCGAGACCATGCAGGAGGGCGCAGCGCCCGTGCAGGAGGGCGCAACACCTCCGACGACCACGGTGCCGGCAACCGTCAAGTCCGTGCAGGAGGCACGAAGCTCTTCAACTGATCCCCTCCCAACATCGATAGCGATTTCCCCGACAACAGCATTCTCGGGGGCCTACGACTGGGAGGAGATGAAGACCCGGGTGTGGGGGAACCACACTCCGGTAACCACGTCCCCTGCGACGCTGGTCAAGCCCGTGCAAGTTGGCACGGCAATCGCGGCCCCAGCATCCTCGGGACCCGATAAGACCGTGCAAGTTGGCATGACAATCACGGCCCCGACATCCTCGGGACCCGGTAAGACCGTGCAAGTTGGCACGATAATCGCGGTCCCGACATCCTCGGGACTCGACAAGCCCGTGTCAGGAGGCACGGCGATGACGCATCTGGTGGGCCATGTCCCGACCATGATGCTGGCGACCAGTGAGCTCGTGCAAGAGGCACGACACTCTCAAGTCGGCCACACCGCTACAACCATGTTCTCAGGGTCCTGCAAGCCCATGTGGGCGACACGACACTCTTCGACAGACCTCAACTGGGGGGCGATGAAGAGACGGTCATGGGGCGGCAAGGCCTCGACCATGACTCTGGCGACCATCGAGGCCGTGCAGGAGGCGTGGAGCTCTCTAGTCGGCCACGCCGCAACCCCGACACACTCGAGGTCGATCGAGTTCGTGCGGGAGGCACGACACTCTCTGGTTGGGCACGCCCCGACTATGCTGGTGGCAACCGTCGAGACCGTGGAGGAGCAACGGTGCTCTATGGTCGGCCACGCCGCAACCCCGACACGCTCGGGGTCCATCGAGTCCGTGCGGGAGGCACGACTCACAACTGCCGGGGGAGACCTGACAAGCAAGTTTGTTGGGAAGAGTGACAAGGAGTCTGCTAGCTTGGGAAAAGCCACTCCGGTTAGTGCAGTGTCCGACGAGTCATCCCCGGGAAGGGAGTTCCCGGGTAGCATGACGTCTGACACAACTACCCCGGGAAGAGTTCCCGGGCAGTGTAACATCAGGAACTACGACCCCACTAACACTGACACCCAAGAGTGAGGTGGTTTCTGGGCAGTTTGTGACCCCGCCTACAGAGCGGCCAGACCTGTTCGACGCCAACAACGTTGGCGATCCACACAGGTTGCGACGCCTAGGGGGAACTTCTCAGCGAGCCTGCGGGACAACCGCAGCACCCCGAGATCAAGAAAGACGAGCACGGCGCCAGTTCCCAGGATCATCGACGTCAAGCCCCTTCGACAGGGTTGAGGGGGAGATTGTTGATCCAACCCAGTCTACAGGGCAGTACTCAGCTGCCGTTGCTTGAAAAAAGAGCTAAATACTATGCTAGGCTTTCTTCGGTCCAAAAGGCTGAGATGGAGAAAGAGTATTAGGCTTTAGCTAGTAAAAAGGCTGAGGTGGAGAAGTAGTGTTAGACTTTAGCCAGTAAAAAGGCTGAGCTGAACGGCAGGAAGTTTCCTAGTAGTAGATAGGAATGTGCTATGCATGTTCATAGTAGTAGCACCGTAAATGCCATCCGGGTCCTATAAAAGGAGCTGCTCCCCATCCGTTGTAAGTAGGGCAAATAGTAATCAAAGTGAAGTAGTATTACCACTACCACGAGCCTCACTCCGTAGTAGTACGTGAGCATCTCCAAGTGAGTGTGTGTGAGCGTTGCTTGTGTCGTGCTAGCTTGCACTAGCTGCTACTTAGGCTGTTTTTGCTCTCCTGGCCCGGTGTGCAGATGCAGATTATTTTGGTAACTCTGTTAGTGTACAAGAGAGAGCTAGCCAGTAGTTTTGGGCTAACAGTCACCATGAGCAGTTGCTCGCATTTGTCCACCACAAGTGGGCGAGGCATCTGATGAGAAGGGATCCAGGCTCGGACAAGGACGGATCCTTGTGTGATACAGCACGCGAGGCATCTGATGTTCCCTTGATTTCGTCAATGGGCGATCCGATCTGATCCGAGGAAGACGAACACGATAGAATCGCCGGCGACGGTGGCCCTGGTGTGGCTTTCTAGAGGGCGCGTATGCTTTTCCGACTAGAATAAGGTTACTCGGCGCTGGAGAATTTTCTTTCCAACGGGGCACATTAGTAATTTTTCCACTCGAAAGTCACCCGCCGTCAACGCCACTCGCGGCCGCGGCCAGTGTTCATCTTGCCGGACGGCGGCTGAGAGCATCTCCACCCGTTCGCCTCTCAGGGCACCAAAAAAAGCCGCCTGAGGGCTAACCGACGCTAGATTGATGCGTGGGACCACTCCGCTCCCGGTCGTCGGCCCATAGGTCATCGCGGGCTCGGCGTTATTTCATACAATTTTTTGCAAACCCGACGAACTTTCACGAGCTCGGCGAAATTTTATTGAAATTTGTACAAAAAACATTAAAAACATGCAAACTACGCCTAAACTATGTCAAACTACGCCTAGGCACTGCACCCGCGTCCACCGCCCGTCATCTACATGCCGAGAAGCCTGTAGAAGCGGGTGTAGCCGCCGTCATCGTCGTTGCGCGCCCCGCCGGAGCCGCCGCCGTCCCTGCTGCACCCCTGGCCAGGGTCATCGACGCGCGGTGGGGCGCTGGACGGCCCGGCCTCGTCCTCCTCGTTGCTGTCGAGGACGATGACGCTGCCCTCCTCGCGCCCGCGGCGCTGGGCCTAGAGCTCCACGTACGCCCGGCGCTGGCGAAGCACCTGCTCGCGAACATAGTCCTCCTTCGCCCAATTAAGGGCGGCCTCGTCGTCGGGGGCCACCATGTCCGTGTGCTCTGGCTTCACCGGGAGCAGCCCCGACTCGGTCTTCGGCTGGACCAGGCGGAGGGAGCGCGGGGAGAGATGGGAACCCTCATTGATGACGAGGACGCCGCCGCGGGTGCAGCGCCAGAGCGGCGTCTCCTTCGGGTCTGGCTTGACGGGGCGGAGAGCCGGCGAGCCGGAGGAGGGCTGGACGGGGCGGAAAGCCGGCGAGCCGGGGGAGAGCGAGCCGGAGCCCGACGACGATGACATCCCCGGCTCCATTCGGCGCGGTGTCCAGGAGCTGCCACCCCGGCGAGAGAAAGACAGTCGCGTCGGGTACTCGAGGCGTGACATGTTGCCGGTCTCGATGTAGTCGAGGACGGCCTCAAGGGTGCGGCCTGGCACGCCCCATCACTCACGCCGCCCGTCGGTGTTGAGGCAGTCACGGGGATGACGCCGTTGACAGAGACGATCTTCTCTTGGCGGCGGCGCGTCATGCCTGCACTCGGAGTAGCACTCTCTGTAGCACTTGCAGTACTCGGACATGGCAGCCACCTGCTGGCGCTCCTCGAGGAGCAGGAGCACGCACAGGCACAGCGCGGCCATGGTGGCCACCCTTAACTTCTTCGCCTTCATCTTCTCCCTCGAGCAACCTGTGGCCTCTTCTTCTTCTCGGTAACACAGCATCAAGAATATATTTGATCAAGGGAGGCAGAGGAGAGAACTGTTGTGGTGAGAGTGTGAGGCGGTGTGCTTTCTTATATGGGCACCCGAGCTCCGAGGACAAAACCGACATTTGACCCTCGTAATGTATTTCCCGGTAAATGAAATGGGCACGATTTTCCCTAGCATCGCCGCCGGGTTATCTGGCGTCTTTTCGGCGAATGGATGATGTGCAGGTGGAGTGTCCTGTAGCATAACGTTGGACCTCAAAAGTGAGTAGAGAAAGCCTTGTTGGAGCTGCCTGTACCTGTATTGATGTAGAAAGAAAACAGAATGCAGTTCAGGTACACTGCTGTTTATATACCACTGAAGGTTCAAATTCTAATACTAGTATGTCTTCAGCTGTACAGCACTAGAGCTAAGCTGGGAGAAATCAAGTTTCCTTGACATGGAAACAGATAAACAGTTTATGCAAGAGCAGCAGAGAGCTGTAGAAAGGAAATTTGCAAAGGCAAGCTCTCTGATGGCTCTGGCCTTAGCAGAGCAACACAACTACCCGCAGCTCATGGTGAAGTGCGTTGAGTTCATCGTTAGCACTCCTGCAATTCTTGATGCTGTGTTGGCGACAGACGGATATAAGCATCTGGTGGCAAGCTGTCCTATGGTGTTGCCCGAGCTTCTCAAGTCTGCACGGGGCATATCAAGGGTAACCATAAGAGTTAATGCTTCACTCCATGTATTTAGTCTCTGTTTGAGCAACTTACTACATCACCTAAAACTGAAAACTTATGCCCATTATATGTATGTAATGAGCAACTTACTGCTCGAGTTTGCACTTGTGTTTGATTTAATTCAGGGCTAAACTGTCCTAGTTTCGATATGCGTGTCCTCTGCTTGTCAAATATTGGCACACGGACAACTTGTGCTTTCAGTGATGTTAAAGAGTAGGATGATCCGGAGTGTGCTGACATGACTTGCTCAGCTGCAGGCTGCAGCCACACAATCCTGCTGTTTGTTCTTACAGAGTGTGCAGTATTGTTGTATGCTGGGAACTCTGTTGAACACATTGTCACGTCAAATTCCGGAACGGTGTCAGGAAATACCATCTGATGAGTAGTTCATGCTTGCTCTGTTTTTCAGACAAATCCGGAACGGTGTCAGGAAATTCCGGAACGTCAAATTCCGTAAATACCATCTGATTGTGTTAGTTACTCTCTGTCCCAAATAGCTTACCAAAAAGTCTTATAATTTGGAACAGATGCAGTAGTACAAAGTAAGGTGATTCCTGTGTCACTGGCCAAGGGCCAACACCTGAAACCATTCATGCTTGCTCTGTTTTTCAGGCAAATCCTCCAGGCTGCTTAAAAGAAATCTAAATGCAATTCATGCAATGGAAGCACATGCAGTACTAGTTTACTCCCGTTATGAACGCTTCACAACATGTTCACCTTCTCAAGATGAAGGACAAATCCGAAGCGACCTAACAATTAATCTGGGCCATTACGACATCCACCGAGAAGGCCAACAAGTAGTTTGTTCGTATTATGCATGAAACAATTAACTACTAAATGCGGTTGGTCCAGTGATACAAGTAGATATACAAATAAATAACGTATAATAATATGTGCCACCTTTTAAGGGGGAAGCTAACATTGAACTTCAGACCTAACCTACCGAGACATTGGAAAAATCATTTACATATCCACCCAATGCCCTTCTCAAAAGAACTCTTTTCTGAAGATCACCGTTCCAGTTTCCATTGCCACTTGTCTCCAGGACATGGCCAATTTTCAAGAGCATAGGATAAATCATAAACCCTTACCATATGCATTAGCACAAACAGGTATTGCGAAAAAGGACATTCACTTCTGCATAGTTCTCGTAAATAAATCTCCTCAGGTAGCATCCCATCATGGACCTGTACAAAAAAGCAAGAAACTCCTGAAACTGTAGCTCAACTTCTACTGAACTCAGCTAGAACTAAGATGTACTTTCCTACAATAAAATTTACAAGAAATTTCGTGGAATTCCTATGTTGGTGATAACTTTTACAAACATGGGCGCTTGCATTCCCGATGTCAGGATGGTGCAGTCGCGTGTAAATGAGGTCGTAAGTGTAATTATGACTCTATTTCGTTTTTTTATTAAAGACTAGTAAACTAAGAGGACTAATTTTTTCATCAAGCTTATAGTAGAAACTTAGTCCTTTTTGTGAGAGGAAACATCAATGATGAATCCCTACTTCTTATCTTCACCAGTGTTTTGTTATCTAGAGCTCATAGTTTGTAATTTTTATGCTTCTAGTAAATCAAAGATTTACATTCAGTTTAAGGAAAACCTTACTATCAAGAGAGGAACATACAAAATAGCTCGGATGGACCCTAACTCAGGATATACAGTAAAGTCCCCAGGTTTAGCAACCTCATCATCTATTCAGCAACTTCTTCAAGTTTCTCGGTGCTACTACCGATCTTGCGAGGAGAAAGCATTCCTGTTGAGCGAACCTAGTTCTTCTAAGTGTTAGTTGGAACTAAAGAGTCTTTTTCTCTGGTGCCACCAAAATTTTGACATGCAAGGTCCTTTTTTTTAGCATTGCTATCTCCAAGGCAGGCCATGCCCTGAGGGGGTAGAGGGGGCGGCCGCGCCGGGCCGAAGACCCCGAAGGGGGTAATGTATGTGTATAGGCTCTTCAAAAATGGTATATGTTCACATTTGGTATTCTTAGAGCTTGTTGTTTTCCCTCCCCCAATCCCGATGCTTTTCCACCTTAACTATGGTTGTCTAGGGGGCGAATGTAAAAACATTGTATTAGCCCACCTTGTTCTTTGAGATTCATGTTTTGGAATCTTTGGGAAATGGGACCGACCTGGCGCCTCAAGTTCTTTGAGATTCATGTTTTGGAAACCTTCTTATTCCTTAGGTCCTACCTATCTAGGGTTTTACCAAGATAGATTTTATCTGCTTCACTACTATTCATGGGTAGTGTTGTGGAAATTTGTGTAGATTGATTTTACTACACTACTCATCATTTTTCAGTTTTTTAGTTCTTATTAAGTAATTGACTTTGAACTAAGACTCCTAACTCTAGAGTTACTAAAATGTTCAATTTTATACACTTGCTTGTTTTAAAAGAGGTGTTTGTTATCCATGTTCACCACATGTGTATAGTTTTCATGTTCGTATATGTACTTACAAGTTAGTTTGTGTGTCTACTTAACATATTAGTTTGTGCTTTACAAGATAGAGCATGTCTTCGATGTTAATGTGTGTGATAACAATGTCCAAGTGTATTTCACACTTCAATATATGTTGGCAACACATGTTGAAGTGTATCCTCATATTAATGTGTGTGTACTGCCCATTTCCCATGTTAATGTGTTTCTACCATCCTCATGTACTTCAAGTAAGATGTAAATCCATAGGCATTCTGGTGTTCCATTTCTTAAATGTTAGTTCACTGATCTCATATAGTTCTCCAAAATTTTCCCTTGCACTTTCCTTGAACCACTCAAAATGTAGAAGCCCATATCTAAGATAAGCTTAATTTTGCCCCTTGATACAAGAGATCTCCTTCATGTCATCAAAGAGTTGGGCCTTGAAAACCGGAGATCTTGTAGCAAGTATGTCCTTGTGTGCAAGAAATGACGAGTGGCGGTGCCAGAAATTCATTCATGTGTAGTCAATTCAAACTTGTGTAGTCATATGTGTTGGAATTTTGCTAGTAGGCCTTTGGAGCAAAGCCCAACTAAAATTCTGAAATTCTCTTGGCCCATTCATGCACACATGTGAGTGGAGTGAGTGAGACTAGAGTTTAGTCCCACCACGGAAGTTGAGAGAGACTTGCACCTTTTTATAAGGTGAGCTCTTCTACCACTTGTATGGGCATGAGAAGAGGAGACCTATGATACGTCTCCAACATATCTATAATTTTTGATTGTTTCATGCTATTATATTATCTGCTTTGGATATTTAATGAGCTTTAATATGCACTTTTATATTATTTTCGGGACTAACCTATTAACCGGAGGTCCAGTGCCAGTTTCTGTTTTTTTGCCTATTTTAGTGTTTTGCAATAAAGGAATATCAAACGGAATCCAAACGGAATGAAACCTTCGGGAGGATCTTTCTTGGAACAAACACAAACCAGGAGACTTGGAGTTGAAGTCTGGAACTCCGCGAAGCTTTCACGAGGCAGGAGGGCGCGCCCCCACCCTCGTGGGCCACACGGAGCTCCACAGACGTACTTATTTTGCCTATATATACTCTTATACCCTAAAAATATCAGGGGGAGGCACGAAACCACTTTTCCACTGCCGCAACCTTCTGTACCCATGAGATCCCATCTAGGGCCTTTTCCGACGATCTGCCGGAGGGGGATTCGATCACAGAGGGCTTCTACATCAACACCATAGCCTCTCCGATGGTGTGTGAGTAGTTTACCACAGACCTTTGGGTCCATAGTTATTAGCTAGATGGCTTCTTCTCTCTCTTTGGTTCTCAATACAAAGTTCTCCTCGATGTTCTTGGAGATCTATTTGATGTAATATTTTTTGCGGTGTGTTTGTCGAGATCCGATGAATTGTGGATTTATGATCAAGTTTATCTATGAACAATATTTGGTTCTTCTCTGAATTCTTATATGCATGATTTGATATCTTTGCAAGTCTCTTAGAATTATCGGTTTAGTTTGGCCTACTAGATTGATCTTTCTTGCAATGGGAGAAGTGCTTAGCTTTGGGTTCAATCTTGCGGTGTCCTTTCCCAGTGACAGTAGGGGCAGCAAGGCACATATTGTATTGTTGTCATCGAGGATAAAAAGATAGGGTTTATATCATATTGCTTGAGTTTATCCCTCTACATCATGTCATCTTGCCTAAAGCATTACTCTGTTCTTATGAACTTAATGCTCTAGATGCATGCTGGATAACAGTCGATGTGTGGAGTAATAGTAGTAGATGCAGAATCGTTTCGGTCTACTTAACACGGACGTGATGCCTATATTTCATAATCATTGCCTAAATATTCTCATAACTATGTGCTCTTCTATCAATTGCTCGGCAGTGATTTGTTCACCCACCGACACTTGCTATCATGAGAGAAGCCACTAGTGAAACCTATGGCCCCCAGGTCTCTTTCTTATTATATTGCATCTCTTTTATTTAATCGCATCTCGTTTACTATTTTGCAATCTATACAACAAAAATACCAAAAATATTTACCTTACTATCTTTATCAGATCTCACTTTCGCAAGTGACCGTGAAGGGATTGACAACTCCTTTATCGTGTTGGTTGCAAGGTTCTTAATTATTTGTGCAGGTACTAGGTGACTTGTGTGTTATCTCCTACTGGATTGATACCTTGGTTCTCAAAAACTGAGGGAAATACTTATGCTACTTTGCTGCATCACTCTTTCCTCTTCAAGGGAAAACCAATGCATGCTCAAGAGGTAGCAACCTACACGAGCACTCCTCCTCCGCACTCGCCTCGCCACGCCTCGTCACGACGCGCCGTGGGTTGCGGGATTGAGCCGAGTCGAGGACAGAGCTATGCATGTTGTCTATATTTTTGCTGCTCAGGAAAAATTAATAAGTCATTAATTAATAATTAACGGACACGTTAATTACTGAACATTTTCTGATTCTTTTGGATCTTGATGACTTGGACGTGGGGTTTACTCCCACAATCTACCCGGCTCGTGATACGTCTCCAACGTATCTATAATTTATGAAGTATTCATGCTATTATATTATCCATCTTAGATGTTTTATATGCATTTATATGCTATTTTATATGATTTTTGGGACTAACCTATTAACCTAGAGCCCAGTGCCAGTTTATGTTTGTCCCTTGTTTTTGATTATTCCAGAAAAGAAATACCAAACGGAGTCCAATTGACATGCCGATTTTTGATGATTTTTGATGGACCAAAAGAAG